TGAAGATAAAAATATATTCTGATCTTAGAGAGATCAGCTGGAACTCATATTATAATTATAAGAATCTGATTCAAACTTTAGTAATTTTCACTATATATTATATTGGAGGTTGCCTTCAAATTATACTATAGGCCCCTCCAAAAAAAGAAATGAGAATATACTCTATGGTCCATATTTTTTTTTGTTCTTGTTGCCGCATTCATCCTCCATTGCAACCTTGGACGATGATATTGGGGTAGATTTTAATGTGCAACTGAGTTTAGGCGAATTCCACGTTTTAAGATAATACTGGTTAATCAAACTTTAATAATAAGGACGATATTGAATTCTTAAGGGTTGGTGTATATATATGTGATACCTAGGTAAATTTAAAGGTGTATGTGCCTAAATCCAAAGCGAATGATATTACTACTAGAGTGGCCGGTAAGATATAATTACTTTAAATTAATTGAAAAGGAAAATCCTTTTTTAATCTATCCCATTAACAAAATGGTTTAATTAATCACTGACATAGTTAATTATACTAAAATACCAACATAATTTCTGGGATGATTAATTAAGATCATGATTATAGTCATATTCTAAGTGAATTTGGTGAGACACTAGCTAAACACGGATTTGGCTCCCTTTCATTTCTCTTTCCCTCAATTTCGTCAAGTACACATCTAGATGAGAGACATGTGTATTATTTAATTGTTAAATGTCAAGATTATATTGCATTAACTAGTATTATAACCATAATTAAGTAAATAAGTTTTGAACAAATAATTTCTTTAACTTTGGTAAGAAAAATGTTCCTACCAATCTTAGAACCCATTGATTTCATTTTATATTTCTATATTCAAATATTAATATTGTACATTGTTTAATCGCTTTCTGTGCTAGCAAATTTATTCTTGAAATATTATGTTGAGATATTTAAAAAATAAAGGAAGAATTATCATTGATGATAGTCATATAATAAAAATGGGATGTAAAAGATGCATTAGAATTACAATGGTGAAAGTATCCAAAAAATAAAAATAAAAATAATAATAATAATAAAAAATATAAAAATAAAAAATAATATATATATATATATATATATATATATATATATATTCTTTTTTAAAAATAAATAAAAGAAAACATAAATTTAAAGGCAAAATATTTTGTAAGACTACTGTTAGGCAAAACAAATTAAATGTTGTTAAGTTCATGTTCCATAATTTTAATATATAAAATATAAAATAAATTAATGATATAAATATATGGATACCAAAAATTGAGAAGAATTAAATATTTTTCCTAATTTTGGAGAGAATTTTTTCCAAAACTTGTTCACTTAACTATGATTATTATACTAGTTAATGCAATATAATCTTGATCTTTAATAATTGAATAGTACACATGTCTCACCTCTAGATATGTACTTGACGAAATGGAAGGAAAAAGTAACGGAGGGGAGCCAAATCCGCAAAAGACATGCAATGAGACTTGTCCATGCTACGTTCCTAAAAATCGACATAAACACTAATATATATAGTACAAACAAATAAAGATGACATAATATATAAATATGTCATTTAATTTGGTCTTAGCTCCTATTTATGTCCTCCAATTTTAGGTGAGTATAAATAGACACTTAAAAGTGTATAAAGTTGAACAAATAGACACATACATCCTACGTGACATCCTACATAACAATTTGTGTCCTACATGTATTATGCCACATATGACTCATGTGTGTCTACTTATTTAACTTTATACGAGTTTAAGTATCTACTTATGCACACCAAAAATTGAAGAACATAAATATGAGTTGAGTACAAATTAAATGACATATTTATGTATCATGTCAATAAAAAAACACAATAAATATACGATTCTTTCACCCTTAACAAAAATATCAAGTTCGTCTAGGTCTTATACTATGCAAATCTTAATTAATCAAAATTCATACAGCGTGATATTATAAACAAAGAAAATTATAACAAGGGGAAACAAACGTAGTACTAGAAATTGTCATGAATGCTTTCTGACTTGTGAGGCCAAGTCCTAGATATGACTAGCTTTGAGTAGTAGATTTCATCAATCAATATAAGGATTTATTAAAGATACTAGATTTGAAATTTTTGTAGATAAGTATTCTCTTGGGTCCCACCCTTGATCACCCGCTGTCCTTTTAGCCCAACTATATATGTGCATATTAATTTATTTTGTAAAACAATATTAATGACATGTATATATGTTTGGTGAGATAAAGAGTGAATACAATGCAAATTTATGAGGAAGCTGCTGGATATTGATAATTTAGTTGGTTATTCATAAATGACAGCACACACCCTCGTGGTCTTTATGCAATATCATCTCCATCAATGACTCACAATTCACAAACTCATTAAAGTGTTTTGGCTTTTATCTTCTCTACATTACCCTTTCCGTCCCATTTTAACGATCATTTTAACTTTTTATGACCATTCAAAAAATATAAGATATAGTTTATTGAGTTATTTTTATTTATTAAATATTTTTTTAAAAAAAATTGCACTATAATGAGGAAATACTGTATATATTGTAAAAATATGACATATGAATCTAACTTAACCCCGAATCTAGCTCATGAGGAAATAATAGTCTTAGTCCATATAAGCAAAGTATGGGTCTATCCGTTGCCAATATGAAACTCTAACACCCCTTCACTCCCTAGCCCAACAAGAGCGCGGACCAGGAGGCCAAGCATGAATGAATATATCATATAAAGATATGCACTTGAGCCTAATTCAACCTCAAAAGTTAGCTCATGAGGAAATAATTATTCAAGTATTAGTTATAAGCAGATCACAAAATCATTTTTCAACTAATGTGAGACTCTAAGCCACTCTAACAACTATTTATTTGTTTCTTGTATTTGTTGCTTACTTTTCTCTGATGAACTATCCTCGACAATATAAATTTTGAATCAATCTTATTAGTCGTCAAATGAATATAGTAATAAAATATGATTAGGTTAGAGTCAAATTCAAAATTCAAATATCCACTTGAATCAACATAATTACAATAATCTATTTAAATTTTCCTCAACTTTTTCCTTTAACATATTAAGGTACCTTTCTTTTTTTTCTTATCCCCTTGGAATAGTTTTTTGTACAAAATAAAATTCATAGGATATTTCATTATGAACCAAAGAAAGTAACAGTTGAACTGCGCTATTAGGAAACGACAAAATTCTTGACTTAATGTACTCCGTTTATCAAGGTTTCGAAAAATCTAAAATAGATAATGTTGTCCAAATAAACGAAGGTACACTAGATTAATTTGTAGCCAATAGACAAGTCTTCTGACATTGAGTTTATACAAGTACAACAAATTATGGGCGTCCATTTAAAATATGGATAGAACAAAAACAAAGAACTTGACAAAAATAATTATTATATATGTTTGGAGTTTGTCTAAAATAATCTTTTAATTTAGGAAATACGTTTGACACTTCCATTCTTTTATGCTTATAAAAAATGAGTAGCTTTACGCCTTATTTATTTTGGTTGAGGTTGGTCGATAATAATTAACTAGTAGTTGCTGATGTCAATGGTGGGGTTAAAGAATGTGTGGTGGTTGTTGATATGTTGGTAGTACGTAGTTGATGGCGATGCTAGTTATATGATCGTTTGGTGTGAATGATAAAAATAAATAGTCATGGAATAAGAAAATAGTGATGAGATAAATTTTTTGTGTCTTGTTTGGTTGCCATATTTGTGATAACTTATCTCACCATTTATATTACAGTGATGGGATAAGTTATCCCAGGATAGCTAATCTCAGGATAATTAATCTTGAAATAACTTGTTCCCAACCAAACAACATATTGGAGGTGATTGGTACTAGAGATCACAATGGTAATAGCGATTGATAGTGGTAATGGAGGTGGCGGCGACAATTGTGGATCTAATTATATTGATGAAGGTGACAATAATGATTGATAGTGGTGATGATTGTGATAACAGAGATGGTTAGCGACGAATGGTTGCCAAGTGATAATAGTTGTAATGGTAAAAATGGTTAATGATGGTGACTAATGAATAATAATTTTGATAAAATGATACTGAAAATTATTTTAATCGTCTAATATTGAACCATTCAAATTCAAACCTCCTAAAGAAATGAGGCCTTATACTCCATTACAATAAACAATAAGTGGCCATAGTTATATTTACAGGAAAGTCTAGTGCTGATTTTCTTTAAAATATACAAATTGGAAAAAGAATGAATAGTCAATAGAGATATAATTTAGACGAAATGTTTTTTTTTTTCGGTTTAAACGTTTTACGTGTTTTTTCACGAGTCAATTTTGTAAAGTATAATTACTAATCATGTAATATTAAGTACGTACAAAAAATAAATTCAATATACCTTTAAAATATAGTACGAATTTGTTTTTGTTTTTTTATAATTAAAGAACCAAAAGTCCTCAATCCAAAAACACACTCACTTTTCTTTTTAATTAATCTTAAAATAATTATATATTTCAAAACAATTTAACTTTGAAATGACTATTTTTATTCTTAATAAATGATTTATCGTCAAATTTTAAACCATAAGTTTTACTCCAGCATTCCTTTTTAGTTGTAATAGTTTCCTTTTTTGAGATTCAAACAATATGAATTTCGACTAACATTTTAAGATGTTTTTTTTTCATTATATTGATATGAAAAAAAATCACAATTTACAAATAGTTTCTACATAGTTTTTGAATATCTAAAATTTTATTTTAAAATATAATCGAAAGATTTGAAAATTAATTAAATTAACTCTCAGAAAAGGCAACATGCAAACTAAAAAAGAACAAAAATAATAATAAAAAAATATTTTCTTAAATTTCGTATCAAATTAAATTAATACGGATGAATTAATTAGATGTCTTTTGGCAACTTTATAAGTACCACACCCATCCAATGACTTTTCCCATTCACACAACTCCTACCCAATCATTAAACAAAAAAAAAAGACTACAAAAATTTAGTATTCTTCTTTTTTTTTTCCCTCCAATTAAAAAAAAAAAGCAAAACAAACTCAAATGGGTCAGACCCTTTTAGATGCTCTGAACGTTCAGGTCGTCGGTTCCGGTGAAAAAGTTTTGGTTTTAGCCCATGGGTTCGGTACAGACCAATCCGCTTGGAGTCGAATTTTACCTTTTTTTCTCCGAGATTACCGTGTTGTTCTGTATGACCTTGTCTGTGCCGGCAGTGTAAATCCTGATTTCTTCGATTTCCGACGTTATACGACACTTGACCCATATGTTGATGATCTTCTACATATTCTCGATTCTCTTGGTATCGATCGTTGTTCTTATGTCGGACACTCTGTCTCCGCCATGATCGGAATTCTCGCTTCGATTCGCCGCCCTGAACTCTTTTCTAAACTCATCCTCATCGGAGCTTCTCCCAGGTGATTTTTTTATTATTTTGAGTTTTCTCACTTTTATTGCTCCCAGGACTCGTTTGGTGTGAGGGATAAGAATAAATAGTTAGATGTCTTGTTTGGTTGACATGTTTGGAATAACTTATTCCACCATTTATAGCATAGTGATGGAATAAGTTATCTATATACATGATGGAATAAGTTATTCCGGATTAACTAATTCCAGAATAGTTAATTGATAACTAGTTCCCAACCAAACGATCCCTACTACTTTAGTTTTCAATAATTTAGAATTGGAGTAACTTTTTGTTTTTTTGGTATTCTCGTTGCTGTAATAGCTCACAAATCATAGGAGAAATGTAAATCTACTAGGTAAGGTGTTAGCAGGGTGAATTTATCCATGGTGGCACTTTTAAGTTTATTTGAGTTAATTTAAACTAAATTGGATTAAAATTAAAATATAGATATTTAAAAATTTATACTATTAATCAAATTTCATGGAATTTAAATTTTGATAAATAAAAAGTGACAAATAAATTAGGATAGGAAAAAGTAATACTTGGGGAATAGGAGTGTGTGCATCGGTCGGTTCAGTTCGATTTTATGTATTATTGGTTCAATTTATCGATTTTCGGTTTTTAAATATGTTAAATCAATAACCAAATCAATAAGATATTTTTTATCGATTTATCGATTTTGGTCCTTAACGGTTCGGTTTAACCAATAAGAAAATACTTATAAAATAAATATATGATTTTTCTAATAAATTTGATGTGAAAACACAATAATGTATCTTTACAAATACTCATAAAATAGAAACAATAATAACAAACATTAAAAGAACTATACAAGTGTAACACAAAGAGAAATTAAGAATAATAAAGTTCTTACTTTAGATTTTAACGTTTTGTATAATGAGAAATTATGAACTCAAAGTCATTGTAAAGTGTAAATTGAAAGTCTAAAGGATAAATATAGTAACTAGTAAGATATTGAAATTAATATATAATATTTATGTAAAAGTAAAAGTAGTAAATTACTAGTCTTTATGGGTTATCGGTTTACCCAATAACCCAATATTAAAAACTAATACCGAACCGATAATTCAATAATTTTTTTTAAAAAAATCATTAACCAATACCCCAATAACAACAAACCAATAACACTTTTCAATTTTTGCACACCCCTATTGGGGAATATAGATTTTTAATTTTTTTTTAAACTACATCTGATATTTAAGCCAAATTAATAGACACATCGCACATGTATTCAAATGAAATGGGTAAATGGATTGTGGTAGATTTAGTCCACAAATGACATTTAAATATATAGCTCATTTATGTAGTCTAATTTTGGAGAGTCGAAATATCATTTGAGATATTTTTTTAAAAAAATCGAGGATATTTTAAAGATAATTTCTTGTTATATGATATATGTATGTATAATATCCTTTTGAGCATGAATTTATTGGAACCAAGTTTTGTACCTCATAAAGTAGTAGTAGAATTTACTTATGTCGTACTATCTTTAGATATTGTTTGCATATTATGCGGACTATATTATTATTGTTTGTATGCATGTATAATATTTTTTATTGAGCAAAAATTTACAGAACCGATTCTGTTCCCCACAAAGTAAAGATAGAATCTGCTTATATCCTACTTTCCTGCGACTTCACTTGCATATTACATGGACTATGTTATTGTTGTTCATATGTATGTATAATATTTGAGTTTCTATACATACATATAATATTGAGTTTGGTTGGCCTACTTAGACCATCTCTAACTCATCTTTATTTTACTCTGCATTCTCTATATTTAAAGAGTAAAATAAAGAATAGGTTCTCCAACCACTCTCTATTCTTTAATTATAGAGAGGTGAATAGTAGATCTCCAAATTTACTTTTTGATTATTTTAATATTATTTTTATTATATTACTATTTAAGTCTTTATCATTTGTAATTATTTTCTAATGTAATACAACATCTAAAAATATATTATTAACAAGTTACCACTTCCACCCAAATTAATAATTTTTCTATTTTAATTGTTTAAAGGAAATGGTCACTTCAAATGTGTAATTTAAAGTTATTTTAATATTATTTATATTATATAAGATTATTAATTAAGTCTCTAATATTTATAATTATTTTCTAATTAATATAACATCTAGAACATATTATTGATAAGTATACTGCTTTCATCCCGAATTAACAATTTTTCTAATTTATTTTTTTATTATTTTTTGTCATTTGAAATATGTAATTTAAATTATAATTATTTTTCATTATGAAGTGTGTACAAAATTTACATGATAATTCAAACAATCTATTTTTATGTTATAGTGATAAATTATTAAACTACACTTTTTAAAGACTATGAAAATATTTGATGCAATAGTTCAAAATGGAATAGCAGAAGTAAATTAGTGCACGGAATGATTGGATACAAGACGAAATTGTTAAATTTAAACAATTTTTAGATACACATAAAAAAATAAGGGCAAAAAATACTCATTTTGAGTTCCGTAATACATTAATAGAACATATATGAGAGTGTAAAATTTAAATTAAAAATAAATTTTACGTTGATACAATATTTATGATGTTAATTATATTTCATCAATAATTTCACTTTTATTTGAATTATTCGTTAATATGTATTATATAATATTTATTGTAATTTATGTTATTTAGAAATTTTGAATAAAATATAATTTTATATTAAATGAAAAATTTGAAAAATAATAAAATGTTGTATTATATAAAGATTTATAGAGTGATTATTGCAAAAAAAAAAAAAGAAGAAATGATTTATATTACTATGAAATAAGAAAATAGGAATGGAATATAAATAATAATATAATATAGAGGAGAGAAAAAAAAATTCTTTTTTAGAAAGTAAAATAGAGAATTAAATTAGAGTTAATTGTCTGAAAAAACAGATAACTCTATATTTGGAGAGAGTAAAATAGAGGATAGGGTCGACTTAGAAATAGGAATATTTAACGTGGTCCTTTTGCTTATTGTTTTCTTTTACTTTTTCTCAATTCCCCATAAAGTTAAGAGCACTTTTGTCAAACTAACTTATCTTATCCTAAGTTTATGTTTTGACAAAATCCATGAATTTATTTGCTTAGGAAGGTTATGATCAATCAATTGACATTTCATGTTATCAGAATCCTTATCTTAAACTTAAACTAAAAAACAAATATATATTTTTTCTTTTTATTATCTCCACCAAATCTTTAATAAAAATAATGTTGTACACCAATCAGATTCTTGAATGATGAAGACTACCATGGTGGATTTGAACTTGGAGAAATAGAGAAAGTATTTTCAGCAATGGAGGCAAATTATGAAGCATGGGTCAATGGTTTTGCCCCGTTAGCCGTCGGAGCCGACGTTCCGGCGGCTGTACGAGAATTCAGTAGGACATTGTTCAATATGAGACCGGACATAACATTGTTTGTGTCAAGGACAGTGTTTAATAGTGACATGAGGGGAGTTTTAGGTCTTGTGAAAGTACCATGTCACATTTTTCAGACAGCAAGGGACCACTCTGTACCTGCTTCAGTCGCCACGTATTTAAAGAACAACCTTGGTGGGAGGAACACCGTGCATTGGTTGAATATTGAAGGTCATTTGCCACACCTTAGCGCCCCGAATTTATTGGCTCAAGAGCTAAGGAGAGCTCTTTCTCATAGGTGATCGATCTTGTTGAAGCAGGTACAGAGTGGTTGAACTCATAGAACTTAAATCCTGAATTTTCATTTCATTTCTTCGTACAACCAAACCAAAATCAAAGAGAAAAAGGGCTATGCATGGTTTGTTTAGTGTTTGAACCTTTGATACACTTTGTGGATTTGTGGAAAAAGTTTGGATTTTTACTAAATAGGATGTTGACAATATTCAAGAATAACAATGCTTGCAAAAAAGAAACTTGAATACACAAATTTTGAGTTTTTTTTTTTTGTGTGCATTACAAGTTACTTAAAGTAATGTATGATGACTTTTGTTCCTCAAATTTTGCTTTGGTGTAGCTTATCCAAAAAGAAAAAGAGGTTTTGGTTTAATTTTCTTGTTCCAATTTACTATGTGAGAATAAAGCAAAGAATATGATTTTTTTTCTTTTCATAATTGACATTACATATTATAATGTGCGTGATTTTTATTTTTTAGTTCACAAATTAATTGACCCAAATTAGAGTATTAATTTATTATGAGACGAAAAAAATCTCACATAATTAATGTCAGTTGTATGAGGGAGAAAAATAAATTTTGAAGGAGATGGTGACACCAGGCAAATGGCAAGGAAGGGTCCATTATGATTATCCAAAAAAGAGGATAAGAAGATGCACTGATAAATTTCACGTGAGAAAGTGTCACTTCTTGGACCATTTCCACTTTCCTCTTTATTTTTAGGGTTATATTTTTCAAATCCACTTTTGTTTTTTTCTCTTAAATTCATTTGGTATTTATGTAAAGAAGAGTTTGCATCTTCAAAAAAAACAAAAAAACATAAAGTCATGTGGCACAAAATAGAAGTGTCAGTGTCGGTCTTTGTTAGAATTTTAAAATAGGAACAAAAATTATACTCTCTTTTGTGTACGGTTTATTTTGTTCTCTATATAAAGGACCTGCCATATTAAGACGAAAAACGGATAGAATTGTACTAATGTAATGAGCTGTTAATTAACAATTTCGTGTGGGATTCTAACATTTGATTATATTTAATTTTTCATTATAAGAAAAAAAGTAAATAGATATAGTGATACTTTTTTGTGACTTTTTTTTATGTAGTTCAAGAAAAATAGATGTATGAATTGTTTCTTGAGTTGAGAATCTATTAAAAATAGTGTATATTTTATTTTTATCGGACTCTATTATATTGGATATGTTATTATTGTTTACAGTGATGTGAATTGTTTATACCAAAGTTTGAATGGTCTTGTTATGGATTTTTGTGACCATCATACTTTCTCTCTTATTACCTAATTTAAATTAAAAAGAACCTATCATATGCAATTCTATCTTTAATAGCTGCTCAATCTTTTATTTTTCAAAATCAAATTTGAATATCACGGGATTTTCTCACCGCTTTGTTCCTTGTAAATTTGTAATTATCTTTAATAGTATTTCTTTCGTTTCAAAAAGAAATTATTATAATAAGAATTTGAGCCTAGCGAGTCATATTTTCTTGGGCTAATTACCCGGTCATAATTGATGGCTGTGAGCTCTCAAGTGTTTTGGATATATAGCCCATAATATAAGGAAAAATTACTTATATACACACATTTACTTACCTTAATATCCATTTATCTCTACCTTTTTTTTAAATTTCAAAAATTCCTTATTCCCCCAATTCATAAAATCTTTCGGATACATAAATATTTCACTCATATTTTCAGCCTACACCCACGTTTTCCACTCCCCATTTCACTCCTCCATTTTATCTCTAAGTTCTCTCCACTTCTTTAACAGTTACAAATTTCAAATTCATTTTGATTTTCAGAAAGTCTCTCTCTCAAGTTTATCAATTAATCTATTTTAGAATTTCAAATCTTTTCTGTTTCCAATTAATGATTTCAAATTATTCAAGTTGTAGATTTCTTTCCATCACATCAATTTTTGATTTCTTTTATTAATATTGTTTAATATTTTTCATCTTAAAAAATAAAAATAAAATTACCTCAGCCCCCTGCCCTCATTGAAATCTTATTGAACCTTTGCAATTTTAGTTAATCATATTGTCGTTGAAATTTTTTCTTGAAAAATATTTATTTTCTTTTAATGTTTCTACTATTGAAAAACGTCCAAAAAAAGAAGAAGAAAAAAGTTGGATCTGCCATAGCACGGCCATCACTATCAAAGATACATATTTTTAATGTATCTTGTTTATTTTGAGCCTTAAATTAATCTTTATTAGTGTTATCATTGATCTGATACATCACTGCTACAATAACATTTGTTTTATACAATGTATAATGTTCATATTTAAGGTATTGATACATAAATCTAATGTTGTTGAATTTTTTATTAGTGTTTATCATGTTCAATAAATGTACTTGATACATAAACTTTGTGTTATTTATCACACACACAAAAAAGAAGCTATTTTGGAACAATTACATGTATAATGTATTTTTTTATTTTAAAATATAGTATTTCTCAAACAAAATAAGATACATAAATAACAATGTATCATACACTAATTTTTTAGTTATAATACATAAATTCAAATTTATACTAAATGTATCTGATACATAACAATTACCAAACAATAATGTATTGATCTCAAACTTAAAATCTTATGGGCAACACTTTCTTATTTAATGTATCTAGTAGAAATACAACACTTATCAATTTAAATTGAAAGGATCTTCATGATCTCAAACAAAATATGATACATAAATAATAATGTATCATGCACTAATTTTTTAGTTACGATACGTAAATTCGAATTTATACTAAATGTATCTGATACATAACAATTATCAAATAATAATGTATCGATCTCAAACCTAAAATCTTATGGGCAACACTTTCTTATTTAATGTATCTAGTAGAAATACAACACTTATCAATTTAAATTGAAAGGATGTTCATGATGTATCTTCTCAAAATTTTCAATAATTTTGAATCAAAATTGAAAGAATCTTCAATGAACTAGGAGAATAATTTTGAAACTCAAAATTTTCAACAATTTTGAATCAAAATGGAAAGGATCTTCAATGAACTGGAGAAGAATTTTGAATCTCAAAATTTTCGACAATCTTTAATCAAAATCGAAAGGATATTTTTTTTTTTTTTAATAAATTACCCAGTCTTATCTCTGGGCAGTGTTGTATTAAGCAAAAAGATACAGAAGGCACTACAACAAATTTGACTATCAAAGACAAATGATTTCGTCACTTATAAATCATATTTCGTCACCAAAGATCTTGTGTGACAAAAAAAATTTCGTCAGTCAGTCGTCACTAAAAGTTTACAAAGACGATTTAGTGCATCGTCACTAAAAAGTTATATTAACTACAAAAAGAAAAATCGTCCCCAAATGTGTCGATATTTGTGACGAATTTATTTGTCATAAAAAGTGTAAATTTTTTGTAGTTAATAGTATGGTTTTGTCACTAAAAAGGTTATTTTCACTAACAAAATTACATCGTCACTATTTATTTAGTTTAGTCAGTGACGACATCAATTGTCTCTAAACTTATATTATTTCGTAGTTGAACAAATGTAAATTTGTCACTAATGGCTGTTTTTTATATACAAAAAATTATTTCGTCCTAAAATATATAAATTAGGGACAAAATTATCATTATAAAAAGATTAACAATTTCGTAGTTAAATTTATCACCGTGTCACGAAAAGCATAGTTTTTACTGACAAGATATAATTGTCACTATAAATTATCATGATTAGTGACAATATATTTTATCACTAAATGTAGTCGACTTATGACGAAATAATTTATTTGTGAGAGAAATATTTGTCTTGAAAAGTTTGATTTAGTTATTGCTAAAAGTTACCTTTGATGAAATAATCTTTTGATGCTCACAAACATTCGATGACATTTAATTATTTCGTATTGATATTATTTTTTAAATTAGAATACATAAATTGAAAAATAAATAATAAAAATATGTCAAATAATCATAAAATTCATCCATTATCATAGCATTAAAAACAACAAACATTTGATGATGTTCAAATTTGTAAATGGTAATAATTCACTAGTTTCTCGTTAATTTGATAATTTATAAATGGTGACAAATTTTCTCATATTTTAGAAGATTAATTAATTCATCAATATAAAAAATTTACTAGGAAAAGTCTAAAATCGTAATATGTAACATGAAATTTATTAAATTAACAGCATGACAAATATTAAATTTATTTTTTAAACTTAGCAGATATCATATAATAATATAAACTCAACACAATAAAATAAAACATTTAACATAATAACAAAAAGTGTCTCTCATGATCTCAAACCTAAAATCTTATGGAAACACTTTCTTATTTAATGTATCTAGTAGAAATACAACACTTATCAATTTAAATCAAAAGGATCTTCATGATGTATCTTCTAAAAAATTTCGATAACTTTGAATCAAAATTGAAAGAATCTTCAATGAACTAGGAAAATAATGTTGAAACTCAAAATTTTCAACAATTATGAATCAAAATGGAAAGGATCTTCAATGAACTGGAGAAGAATTTTGAATCTCAAAATTTTCGACAATCTTGAATTAAAATCGAAAGGATATTCTTTTTTTAAAAATAAATTACCCAGTCTTATCTCTGGGTAGTGTTGTATTAAGCAAAAAGATACAGAAGGGGGTTGGGCCTGACCTCAAATACAACACATTTTGTGGTGATCACATCACCATTGGTAAGCCAGAAGAGGCAGAAAATAGCCAAGTTTCTGACAAAATTACCACCTAGCTAACATAAAAGTTGGCCTTGTCAAATTTGGATCGAATACAAGGCATTTGCCACTTATCAAGTTGAAAGGGGCCTTTAGAGGTTCCGTGCAAATCAAAATAGGAATACAACTTGATTTTGGTCGGTGGTCGAGGCTAGTTTGGCCAAACTATCAGCTACTTGATTGCACTCCCGATAGCAGTGCTTCACTTCATAGTTTGTCGCATTCTTGATCTTTAGCATCTTTTCAATGATGTTCATCGAAAGGATATTCGATAAACTTGAAGATTCACAAAAGAAATAGTTTGTCCAATAACAATTTCATACCTTTTGGATC